CGGGCAGTGGTAGCTGGCTTGCTGGCTACTGTGGGGAACACCTAGGTGACACTTGGGTTGTCATATCCTTCGCCTGCCCCCAGCCACCTCACAAGCTCCTGCCCTTTGGCTACCCTGCCTCAAACCCAGGCTGAGGTCTGCAGTCTCAGGGCGAAGAGTGGATGGGTGGCTGCTGTGTGTGTGCCTCTGGCCTGGAACTTGTCCCAAGCCTCCTGTCTTGTTCCCCCCCAGGTGAGAACTGTGAAGTGGACAGCCGCTCGGGGCGCTGCATGCCTGGTGTGTGCCGCAATGGCGGCACCTGCACCAACGGCGCCGACGGGGGCTTCCGCTGCCAGTGCCCGGCGGGCGGCTTTGAGATGCCCTTCTGCGAAGTGTCCACACGCTCCTTCCCACCGCGATCCTTCGTCATGTTCCGGGGCCTGCGCCAGCGCTTCCACCTCACCCTCACCCTCTCGTGAGTCCTCTCACTCCTCCACTGGACATGGGCGCCCACCCACTTGCCTGGCCCCATTCTGGTGGCTCTTGTGCACCCTGGGCCTGTCCAGGGACTCGCTGATGCTCTGCATTACTGGCTTAGCCTTGCCACTGCGCTGCCCCAGTGCCTTTAGCTCTGAATCTGCACTGACATATCTCCCCTGGCATCAGCTCATCCATTCCTTCAGTGCCTCTGCCCTTCACTGCTGCCAGCTCTCTGCCTCCATGCCAGGCCCCCATGCTCCCAAAGCATCCTCTGGATCAAGCCCCTTCCCAGCTGGGCTTGCACCCGGGGCCGGGCCCGGGTCTCACCCTGTCCCTGTACTGGGATGCTGGTGCGTGCCACAGGATAGTGGGGATCTCTGCATGCTCCCTGCGCACACCCTGCCCTCCTGCTTCCTCCCTTGCCCCAGGTTCAGCACCGTGGAGCCCAGCGGCCTCCTGCTCTACAACGGGCGCCTGAACGAGAGGCACGACTTCCTGGCGGTGGAGATCATCCAGGGGCAAGTCCAGCTGAAATACTCCACAGGTAGGCTCGGCCCTGCCTGTCGCAGGATTTGTGCCATGGGAGCTGCGAGAAGGCCTGCGCTGAGTGGGGAGAGCGGGGTGCTGCCCTGGATGGAGCCCACGCTACGGGAGATGGGGTTGAGAGAGGTGTTGGTGAGCGTCAGTGGATGGCACAGAGGATGGGTGTGTGTCAGGACCATCCCTAGGCTTAGGAGTGCAAGTGCAACAGGGGAAGTGTGAGCACAAACCGGGATAAATCCTTTTGGGGTCTCCCCTACCATTCTGCCCCATTATGTCACTGGGAGGTTCAACTCTTGCCTTATCGTGGGCCAGCCTGAAGAGGAGCAAACACCTCTTGGGTCTCATGCCTGCTGACTTGTGCCATTGCTGTGCCCATCCTGCCTGCCCCGAGGAGTGTCAGGATCAGCTGCCAGGAGCCCTCATGTTAACAGCTGGGGTTTCCCTCCCGTCCTATGTCCAGTGCTCCTCCTGCACGCTGCGCCTGGTGGCCATCCTGCTGCTGCTTTTGTTGCACTGGTGTCCTCAGGGCAAGGCCTAGCAGCAAGTGGCTGGTGAGGGGCTGTCTGCGTGGTGCCAGGGCACCCTGACCACCAGCCTGGACAGGGGAGCCATCCCAGGGTGCTGGCTGCCAGTCCCAGGGCTGTGATTCCCCCCACGCCGCTCCTGCTGCAAGGCTTCAACAAGCAGGTGTAGCACGCTGAGCTCCAAAGCCCTTCTCCGTCCCTGTGTGAGGGCATTGGCAACACGGAGGGTTTGGTGCCTTCAGGAGAGACAGGTGCATCCAAGGGCTGTCCGGCTTTCCTCAGCGTGCCATCATTCCTGTCTCCGCAGGAGAGTCCAGCACGGTGGTGAGCCCCTACCTGCCGGGGGGCGTGAGTGATGGGCAGTGGCACACGCTGCAGCTCCGCTACTACAACAAGGTACGTGCGGTCTGTCTGTCCCCCCAAGTGCATGGGTCTCTCTCCCTGTGAGGAGTGAGCGAGCGGCCCTGGCTCTCCCGTTCTCTGGCTCTGCCCCATGGGAGAGGCTGTGGAGAGAAGGTAGAGGTGGTCTTCTGCCCTTGGGGATGGGTGCAGGAGGAGATTGACACTCAGGACCACACTTGGAGGCTGCATGAATGCATTCCGTGCAGTGTCCTTGCATGTGTCCATCTCTGGTGCTGCTTGCTGGCCTCGGCCAGAGATGTCCCTCCTGCTTCGCTCACACCTCCAGGAGCGTGGTGGTGGCTGGTCAGGTCCTTTCCTTGCTGTCACGCGAACTGTTGGGTGCCTGGGGTTGGGGGCATGTGTGCTGCTGACGCCCTGTGTTTGTTTTCAGCCCAAGGTCAGTGCCCTGGGAGTAGTTCAGGGCCCCTCCAAGGACAAGGTGGCCATTTTGACAGTGGACGAATGTGATGCCTCAGTGGCCCTGCAATTCGGCAGTGAGATTGGGAACTACTCCTGTGCCGCAGAGGGTGTGCAGACCAGCTCGAAGAAGTGAGTTCCTTGGGGACTGCTGGGCATTGCTGCAGTGGGGAGAGGAGCAGGGCACTTGGGTCCCCTGCGGAGTCAGCCTTTCGCATCTTGGCTGTGTGAGCCTGTCCCCGAGGATGTCTGCTTCCCAGCCCCTCATGCTGGGGAGCCAGCTGGCCGACCTGAGGTCACTGTGGCTCTTAAAGCCCTGGGCTTCTGTCCTTGTAGGTCCCTGGACCTCACAGGTCCCTTGCTCCTCGGAGGGGTCCCCAACCTGCCGGAAAACTTCCCCGTCACTCACCGGGACTTTGTGGGATGCATGAGAGACCTGTACATTGACAGCAAACGCATCGACCTGGCCTCCTACATTGCCAACAACGGAACCGCTCCAGGTACCGCTGCCTCTGCTCCTGCCAGCCCCTGCCCTGGGAATTGCCCCTCCTGCTCACACAGCAGCACTGCCGGGCTGTAACAGCAGTGGGGCAGCACAGCTGGAGCTGAACAGCTTCCCATCAGGGAAGGGGGCCTCCAGATCCCCTGAAATGAGCCAGTCTCCATTCCAGCTAATGTTCTGGGAATGTCCCCTGATCCCAAGTGCAGAGCCTGCAGAGGTGGCGTGTCTGGGAGGTGCTAGGTAGTCAGTCCAGCTCCGCAGTGTCTTTATTCTGGCATAAGGAGCAGCGACAGCCTTGATCCTCATCCCTGAGCCGGCAGGGTCTGTGCTGAGAGGCTGATCAGCTGGGCTTGCCCCTCTGGCAGCCAGGGAGAGGGCCGGTGGGCAGTGGTACCTCTTCATGTGGGCTGGGCTGAGGTGGTGAGCAGGTCAAGGCTGATGCGGGTGACTTTGATACCTCCAGGCTGCCATGCCAAGCACACGTTCTGTGACTCCAGCCCCTGCAAGAACGGCGGCACCTGCTCTGTCAGCTGGGGGACCTACTCCTGCCTCTGTCCTGTTGGCTTCGGGGGCAAAGACTGCCGCCACCGTGAGTGAGCGGGGTGCTGCTGGGCATGGGCAGGGTGGGTATGGGAAGACTCTGCTGGGTTTGCTGTGGAAGCGGAGTAAGGGGTCTGTGTGAGATGAACTAGCTCAGTTGTCCCTGCATTTAGTGCTTCCTGTGTAGTGCCTATCCCTTCTCCTCACCTCCACTTTCCTTTCCAGCCATGCACCATGCCCACTATTTCCAGGGCAACAGTGTCCTGACCTGGGACTTCAAGACAGACGTGAAGATCTCAGTGCCATGGTACCTGGGGCTCGCATTTCGGACGCGCCAGCCGGATGGGGTGCTTCTGCAGGCCCATGCCGGCCAGTATACCACCCTGCTGTGCCAGGTAGGGCCACAGCCTCAGCCGCAGCACTGTGCCCCAGCGTCTACTGCCATTCAGAGCACTGGAGCACCTCTCCTCTGAGGACAGGCCGAGAGAGTTGGAGTTGTTCAGCCTGGAGAAGAGAAGGCGCCAGGGAGACCTTATAGTGGCCTTCCAGTACCTAAAGGGGGCCTACAGAAGAGCTGGGGAAGGACTTTTTACAAGGGCGTGTAGTGATAGGATGAGGGGAATGGCTTCAAGCTGGAAGAAGGTAGATTCAGATTAAAATTAGGAAGAAATTTTTCACTTTGAGGGTGGTGAGGCACTGGAACGGGTTGCCCAGAGAAGCTGTGGATGCCCCATCCCTGGAGGTGTTCAAGGCCAGGTTGGATGGGGCTTTGAGCAACCTGGTCTAGTGGGAGATGTCCTTCAGCAGAGGGGTTGGAACTAGATGATCTTTAAGGTTCCTTACACCCTAAACCATTCTATGATGCTATGATCTGCCCCAAGGGTTGGGTTTCCCTCCCCGTGCTCAAAGCTCAGCAGGAGGGTAGGCTGGAGGCAGGCAGAGTTGGTGAGGTCTTCGCTCACTGCTGCTGTTGCTGGCTCCCTCTCTGCAGCTGGCTGGGGGCCTGCTCTCCTTCATGGTGAGCAGGGGGTCCGGGCGCAGCACCAGCCTCCTCCTGGACCAGCTGCAGCTCAGCGATGGGAGATGGCACGACCTCCAGCTGGAGCTGCGGGACGTCCGCAGTGGGCGAGACTCGCGCTACGTCATCACCCTCACCCTGGACTTTGGGCTCTACCAGGTAAGCGCTGCTGGTCCCCGACACCAGGACAGGAACCATGGGGGATGCTTGGCATACCCGGGCTGGGCTGGGCCTCTGCACCCTCAGAGGGGGCTGGGGCAGGAGAGGGCAGGGCTGATGCCAGTTGCCCCGTGTTACTCCCTGTCCTTCTACAGGACACGGTGGTTGTTGGAAATGAACTGCATGGCCTGAAGGTGAAACATCTGCACGTGGGGGGAGTCCTGGGCTCTGGCGAGGTGCAGAATGGGCTGAGGGGCTGCATACAGGTGAGTCCATTGCTCTGAGCCTTCCCTTTCCAGCGGGTTTGTTCCATGGAGGGGTGGAAACACAGGCCTGGCAGTGTCCATCCCGCTGGTCACACTCTCTGCCTGAGCATTCAGGCCTCTGAGGTGCCGTGGGGCAGCCGTAAATCAATGCAGCAGGGGTGATGGGGGGTGGCTGCCCCTGGGGATTTGTGGAGGGCAGGAAGACTGCAGCCCTGCCTGTGTGTCCTGGCTTCACCGTGAATTTGTCACCTGCGTTGCAGGGTGTGCGACTTGGTGACAGCGTCACCGGGACTGCGCTGCCCAAGCCCAGCCATGCCCTGCGGGTGGAGGCTGGCTGCAGCGTGCCGAGCCCCTGCGACTCCAGCCCCTGCCCGGCCAACAGCATCTGCAAGGACGAGTGGCAGAGCTACTCCTGCGTCTGCCAGCCAGGTAGGGCCTGCAGTGTCCTGCCACCCCTTTGCTTTCCATGCTCGTATGTCTTCTCCTCTCCCCTTGTCGCTCTCTCCTGGCCTGTGACTGCACTCCTGTCCTTCCCTAGGGCAAGTCCTGGGCCTGGAAATCTCCACCAGATGCTCATTAGTTTTTATGGGGAGCAAAATCCCTCCTGAGCCCCCTGAATGCACTCCTTGGTGTTCTGGCTCCTCTCAGGGGGAAGGTGTCTGCTTTACACAGTGCTCTCTCTCCACACCTCAGGGTACTACGGAGGGGACTGCGTGGATGTGTGTCACCTCAACCCCTGCAAGAACAAGTCAGTGTGTCGCCGCAAGCCAGGCTCACCCCTGGGCTATGTGTGCGAGTGTGGAGGGAACTTTTTCGGGCAGTACTGTGAGCACAGGTGAGATGCAGAGCGCAGGGCAGGGCCATGGCCTCTGTGCCTGGCTCTTTGCTGCCCTCTCATCCTGGCTACGTGACCATGGGCCTCTCAGTGCCACTTGGCTCCTTGGAGCTGCTGAGCAGCTGGGCTGGTGGGAGAAGGCTCAGGGGATTTGGTTGTTGTAACAGCAGAGGTATTTCTCTCCCTAGGATGGACCAGCAGTGTCCAAAGGGCTGGTGGGGGAACCCGACCTGCGGGCCCTGTAACTGTAATGTGAACAAGGGCTTTGACCCCGACTGCAATAAAACCAACGGGCAGTGCCACTGCAAGGTGAGGAGCAGCAGTCCCCAAGGGGACGTGACCCATGGCTTGCCTGGATCCCTGTTCATCCTTGATGCTGTTCCTTGTCCCCTCAAAAGCTGCCCGGGTCCTGCTTTGTGCACCCACCTCTGGGCTGGATCCCTGCTCAGCTCTTCTGTGCAGCCATGGTGATGCTGGGGGCAGTGGGGTCCTTCTAAATTGTGAGAGCTTTGCCCTTCTCTGCCCCAGCTCCAGGGGTTCCCCAGGTGCCAGCCTCAGCTGCTGTCCCGATAGGCTGTCTGATGGCTGTCCCCATCTCCCCCCAGGACTTCCACTACCGCCCCAAAGGCAGTGACACCTGCCTGCCTTGCGACTGCTACCCTGTGGGCTCCACCTCGCGTTCCTGTGACAAGGAGACGGGTCGGTGCTACTGCCGGCCCGGGGTCATCGGGCGCCAGTGCAATAGCTGCGACAGCCCTTTTGCCGAGGTGACGCCCAGCGGCTGCGAGGGTGAGTGTGGGCATGGTGGGAAGCTGGTGCCGTAGGGGTTGGCATCAGCGGCCTTCCCCTGTGACTGGCCCCTTGGCGTTTGTGTCTCCACAGTGCTCTATGATGGCTGCCCCAAAAGCCTGAAGGCGGGTGTGTGGTGGCCCCAGACTAAGTTTGGCTTCTCAGCTGCGGTGCTGTGTCCCAAAGGCTCCTTGGGTGAGTGGGGGATGCAATGGGGAGGGGAGGGGGCAACCTGACTGTTCTGTTAGGGGCCGTAGCAGCTACAGCAATATCACTCTGTTCTTGTGCTGTCCCAGTCCTGTTTAGCTGGGCTTGAGGGCTGGGAGAAGGAAGTTGGAGGAGAAAATGCTGCAGCTTGGGGGAGAGCAGAGGGGGCTGGCCACGGGGCTGGGAACAGGCTGTAGAGTCTAGGCCCATCACCGAACCCCAGGGCTGTGCTGTTCCCTCGCCCTTGGTCCCCACCTTCTGCCTGCTGCCTTTTCTTTTCAGTGGGCTTGAGGCTGGGGTCAGTCCTGGTACAGCAGCTCGGCACCTGCAGCACCCTGCTGCTGCTCTGCTTGCCCCATCACCGGTGTGCACTGCGAGGGGAGCAGGGCACAGCGTGCTCTTAGGTGGGTCTCTCTGTTAGGAGTCACAGCCCAAGTTATAGGAGGCCATTCTTGGTGACAACTAAGGTGTGAGCAGGGTGTCTGGGACTGTAAGGCAGCGTGAGCCCCAGGGGACAATACAAACCCTGTCCTTCTCCAGCCGTTCCCCCCGGGAGGAGGCAGTTTCGGCTCCTAACTGTTGTCGCTTCTCTCCCTGGTTCTCTCGCCCTCCGTGTTCAGGCTTGAGGGGTGCAGGTAAGGTTTCTCCCACCTCTTTCCCCCTGTGCTGTAAGGGCTGCGCCAAGTGGCTTTCCCTCCCTGCTCCCTGCCTGGCACCCTTGCACTTTTCCCGCTGCTTCTGGAGCTGCCGAGTGTCTTCCCAATGCTTTGCCTGGCCTCACCACTCCTACACGCCTCTTCCCTGCTCCCAGCACACTAACCAGCACAAACCCAGCTGCAGCCGCATGCAGCCCCTGCCACCTGCAGTCCTGAGCCTGCAGCTTTGGCTCTGGGCAGGTCTGCGCTCTGCTCCTCGGCTGGGATGGATGCTTGCTGTCCCGGGCTGGTACCTGCTTGCTTAGGCTGGGAGGGAAAGGAGCTGGTGATGAGCAGTGGGTAGCGAGGCCAGCGAGGATATCGCCATGGGGTGGAGGAAGGGGGAGCTGTTTGAGCAGGGGGCGGTAGGACGGGGGCAGGAACTGATCGGCATGCTCAGCACAAGGTCCTGTTCCCTCTGCCCGGCTGGCAGGGGGAGGCAGAGGGACGCGGGTGGCTGGATCCTGCCCACATCTGCAGCTGAGCCGATCTCTGTTCTCTGCAGGGGGAAAGCCAGCAGCACGGAGGGTTCTTTGTTCTCCCTGCTCCCAGCTGCAATGGCAGTAGTCCCTGTGCTTCTGCAGCTGGGGGAAAGGTGGTTGGGGAGGACAGCTGGGAGCTGGAGATGGTGGGAATGAGCACGCTAGTCACTTGAGCTTTTCTGAACAGCAACTGGAGTCTGCTCCAGGCTCCCTCTCCTTGCCCTGGGCACACTGCTGCCCTCTCCCAGCTGTGGGTGCTTGGGTGGGCTCCTGTGCCCTGGTGCTTTCCCCAGGATAGCCTGATTTGCAGTCCTGCCAGGTACACCGGGGATGCCTGGGTTCCTTTTGCTCAAAGTGTGTGTGGCGATGCTCCCGACATAGGACACTACTCTCCATGTCGGCTTTAGAAGCGCGTTTGGTGGTGGTTAACAGCTGATCCCATTTATTGCTGGTATCTCCGTTGCTGTGCAGTAGTGCTTGGGCCCCAGCCAGGGACTGGGGTCTTGCGCTGAGTACTGAACCCACACTGCTGTGTTGGTCCTCCTCCATCACCCTCTTCCATCCCACTGGGTTGCAGGGCCTTGTCTCTGGGGTGGGTTTGGCAGCCTCACAGCAGGGGTGTTGTCTTCCTAGAGTGACTTTGCCCTGTAGAGAGAGGCAGGACCTCAGCAGGCATTGCAGGTTGTCAGCTGGGGGATGCCTAGAGCTGCATGGGCTTCCGTAATTTGGGGTCAAATGTGCCCTGAGGGCATGGACACATCCCCACCAGGAACCAGGGGCTTCTCCAGCCTGAGCCTTGCCAAGTCACTCATTCCTCTTTGCAATTCTGTGTGATGGCACCTGGTGTGATGCCGCCCAGAAGCACACATAGGAACCCAGCTCCTGGAGAGAGAGGACGGCAGCAGCTTGCTGAAGTGATGCAGACCAAGGGTGGAATGGGTTGCCTTGGTGCAAAGCAGGACAGCCTTGGGGTGTTACAGGCCCTCCCCATCACTTGCTGGTGCTGCTCTTCAGGGTTAGCTGGTGCAGAGGGTCCCTGCTGGGGGGATGCAATAGGGGAGCCATGTATCCTGTGCTGAATTTCAGACATGCCCTTCCTCTGGGTTTTAGGTGCAGCCGTCAGACACTGTGATGAGGAGAAGGGTTGGCTGGAGCCAGATCTCTTCAACTGCACTTCACCTGCTTTCAAGGAGCTCTCCATGCTGGTAATCCTCTTTTGGCTCTGCAGCCCTGACAGAGCAGGAGCTGTACGAGCAAGGGCTCACAGCCAGGTTGCAAAGAGCTCAGCTCTCCGTGGGTAACTAGAGTAGGGGGGGGCCTTGCCACAGTGCTCAGCACCTTTCTCTTCTCATCACCTGCCCCCAAACACATCCTGTGGGAGTACTGGTCTGAGCTGAAGTTCACTTGGCTTCATCTAATCCAAGTGTCCCCGTCAGAAATGACCTGTGTCCTGCCCCAGTATTTGAGAGGAAAACACATAACCCTTGGCAGGGCTGAATTGTTTGAAGCTGGCGGGATTTGTGCTTCGTGGGACATCTGTAGCCCCCAGACTCTGTCAGTGACAAACCAGTTTGAAATATCTAGGCAAGTTTATTAAACACTTGCATCTCACCTAGGCCGAATTGTAACTGAAGCCAGGAGAATTTCAAGGGAAGTATTGCTAGATGCTTGCCCTGTCCTTTCATCTCCTTGGCCTCTGTTGTGTACGGCACTGGGTTAGCTGGGCCAGTGCAACCCCTGGTGTGTTGCTGGAGGCTGGTTGTCAGCCAGAGAGGCTCCCTGTTCTAGTGACCACCACTGTGAGTGTCTGTGGCTTGTACCATGGATTCAGAAATAATCTCTGGGCCAAGCGGGGCCTGCAGCATCCCAGTTTCTCAGTGTGGAGCCTGCTTAATTGTATATTCCTCTCCTTTCTCCCTGCTGGCAGCTGGAGGGCTTGGAGAAGAATGAGACTGAGCTCAACACAATTGAAGCCAAGAAGCTGGCCCACCGGCTCCGGGCTGTGACGGACCACATGGACCACTATTTTGGCAACGACGTGCACATCACTTTCCGCCTACTGTCCCGTCTCATGGCCTTTGAGAGCCGGCAGCGTGGCTTTGGCCTCACAGCCACGCAGGACGCCCACTTCAACGAGGTGAGTCCTTCCCCCAGATCAGAGTGGCTTCTGATGCTGCTTCTTTTTATCAGCCACCCTGAGCCTGGGTCTCTGAGGGGGTCGAGGATGTTGTGAGACCACGTCAGGAGCACTGGGATCCCCAAAGCCACACAGACATTGGCCCACAGGAGCGAGACCCGTGGAGGTCACCAGGGTGGTCGGGAGCACAGGGTGGATGAGGAGAGGCAGACAGCTGGGTTTGCTCAGCCTGGGAAAGCAAAGGGAGATCTTATTGCTGCCTGCCAGTCCCTCATGGCAGGGGTGCAGGGAAGATGTCTCTGTAGGACGCCGGTTGATGAGTGTTGAGGGTAGGGGCCCATCATATCAGAAAGTACCTCTTCCCCGAGCCCTTGTGCTGCTAGCTGGGCAGATAGAACAGTGCTGCAGCCTGGGGGTGGTCAGGATGGGGCCCAAAGGCAGTGCTTCCCTCACCGGCTGACCCATGTCTGTCCCATGCAGAACCTGCTGCGTGCAGGCAGCTCCGTGCTGGCACCTGAGAACCGGGAGCACTGGGCAATGCTGCCACACAGCGAGCACGGCAGCGCTAGCCTCATGGAGCAGCTGCGGGACTACTCAGGCACGCTGGCCAGCAACATGAAACTCACCTACCTCAACCCTGTCGGCGTCGTCACCCCCAACATCAGTGAGTAGGAGCTGGCTGGTGGTGGAGCCTGGCTGCGGTGGTACAGAGCCACTCGTCCATCATGCTCTGTCCCCTTCTCATCTCACTTCACCTCAGTGAGGGTGCTGATAGTGTCCTTTTTGGCTCTCTCAAACCATCCCTGCCTGCAGTAGGTGACACACCACCAAGAGCCAGCAGGGCCAGGAGTGTGCTGCCCGCTTCGTTACCTCCCAGTCTAGTGAAAAAGCTGCTGGCCTCAGTGGAAGAAGTACCCTGCCCTATGGCAGAGCAAGGATTTGGGCTGGGAAGGAGCACTGTGGGGGCCCAAACATGGGACATGACTGTGGCTCATATGGTCTTTTTGCCAGTGACTTCAAACTTGGGGTGCCATGGAACGTGGTTGCTCTCCAGGTGGCTCTCCTAGAGCTGACTTTCACTCCCTTGCTCCTCCGCAGTGCTGAGCATTGATCGTATGGAGAACCACTCTCATGTCCGCCGGCGCTACCCTCGCTACCACAGCAGCCTCTTCCGGGGCCAGCCTGCCTGGGACCCCCACACCCATGTCGTGCTGCCACTGTCAGTGCTGAGCCCCCCGAAACCTGAAGGTGAGCATGTGAGCATCACTCGCGGAACAGTGTGGGTGGGCATGGCAGGGAAGATGTGCCCCTGCTGAGACCTGGCTTTGTCAGAGGTCCACAAGTCACCCTTGAAAGCTCAGAGCTTCTGACTTCACCACATACCAAAGGCTCCGGGTGAGCTCACAAGCTGCCTTCAGAGCAGTGTGTGTGTTCTCACCGTCCCTTTATATGCCTCAGCTGCCCCCACGGCGGAGCCCGCACTGGCTGGGGGTGAAGGGAACTACACTGTGGAGAACTCCTCCCCGAGGCAGGCGCTGCCAGAGCCCGAGCCCGCTCTCACTGTGATCATCCTCATCATGTACCGCACCCTGGGGGGGCTGCTGCCTGCACGCTACCAGGTGGATCGCCGCAGCGTCAGGTACGTCCTCCTCCCCTTTGCTATCCACAAGCACCAGTGGAGAGAGGCTGACTGGACACTCTCTGCTCTGCCCCCTCTGGCAATTGCTGAGTCTGTCTGCAATGACTTGAGTTTGGTTCCGAGCCAGACAGTCCTGCGGTGCTCTGCCTGTTCCCCATGTTGGAGTTGCTCTGCCCCATGTTTCCAGAACACATGGCACGAGCTGGGTAGAGCTGTTCCCTCTGGGACATCAGCGCAGGACATCCAGGAAGTCCCCAGAGGGCTGCAGCTGCTAGTCATGCTGATGGTAGAGCTCTGTTGCTCCTTGCAGGCTCCCCAAGAATCCTGTGATGAACTCCCCGATTGTGAGCGTGTCTGTGTTCAGCAATCACACCTTCCTGCGGGGGCCCCTGGACACCCCTCTCGTGCTGGAATTTCACCTGCTGGAGACAGCCAACAGGAGCAAACCTCTCTGCGTCCAGTGGAACCACTCCAACCCGTGAGTCAAGCGCAGCTGGGCCACTCGCTTTGAGCTGCTTTCCGCAGGCACCTCCTCGTTCCCCGAGTCTCCCTGGCCATGACAGGCTCTGTGCCTGGGCAGCACTGGGACATGGGAGTTTCTGCCCTCTCCCAGGGCATTCATTCTTACTGGGAGGGCACAGTAGGGTCCCTGCAAGGCTCTGGCTCCAGTACTTCAGCTGTAGGAGTGCAGTTGTATCTGCTGGTAGAAAAGCCTTACCAATCACCCCTCTTCTCTGCGGTTTCTTCCCCACACACCACACTCATCTGTCTTCTCTCCTAAGTGCACTCTGCTTTTTGGTGGCTGCAGGACCAACCCCTCCGGCTTCTGGACAGCCAGGGACTGTGAGCTCGTGTACCGAAACACCACACACGTCCATTGCCAGTGCTCTCAGTTTGGCACCTTTGGGGTTCTAATGGACAGCTCGCACCGAGAGGTAACCTCAGCCTGCGTGACTGTGGGCAGTGGTGGGGGTTGTTAGCCACTGTGTCCCAGAATAAGCAGGCACAGGCAGAAAATTCCCTGTGGGACACAAGTAGAGTCTGAGAACTCAGCAGGCTTCCTGCATCTCCCCCTAACACTGCCATTTGCCTTTGGTTCTCTATTTATGCAGCAACTGGAAGGTGACCTGGAGACTTTGGCAATTGTCACCTATTCCTTGGTGTCTCTCTCCTTGGTGGCTCTGCTGCTGACCTTCTCCTTCCTGACCTGCCTCAAAGGCCTCAAGTCCAACACACGTAGCATCCACTCCAACATATCAGTCACCCTCTTCTTCTCTGAGCTGCTCTTTCTCCTTGGCATCAACCACACTGAGAACCAGGTCTGTGGACTTGAACAAGCACGCCCTTGGGGGTGAGGTGTGGATGATGCAGTTAGGGTTGGCACAGTGGGACCATCTCTGAGTGGCTTTTGTCTCCCCAGTTTCTTTGCACTGTGATTGCCATCCTCCTCCACTGCTTCTTCCTTTCCACCTTCGCTTGGCTTTTCGTCCATGGCCTCCACATCTACCGAATGCAGACCGAAGCCCGCAATGTCAACTTTGGGGCCATGCGTTTCTACTATGCCATCGGCTGGGGAGTGCCTGCCATCATCACCGGTAAGAGCTACTTGTCCTACAGCCATGCCAAAAACTCTGGTTCTCAGCAGCCTCCTGGTCCCCTGGTGTTGCCCGGCTCACTTACCCAGTGGAGAGACCTGAGGTTGGCCTTGCCACAGCCAGCAGTGCTGTGGTGGTCAGCTGGGGACAACGTATCAAGAGCTGTCTTCTTGCCTCCTGGGGAGAAGTAATTTCTCAGCGCATCTCCCCATGGCTTGTTTGATGGGCATGGGGCTCCAGCTGTCCCAGGGCTTGTGGTTAAGATCTCCTTGTTTCCTAAGCCTGCATGCTTGAGTGATCTGTTGCTGGCAGTGAATGCCAGCTGGGCTGTGTCAGGAACCCCAGGAGAAAAGGACATAAAGGCCCTGATGCTGGGGCTCGCAGTCCTGGCTCTTTCCGCTGTGCCCGAAAGCCTGTACACAGGGCAAGGAGCAGTGAGAGAGCCCCTTCACAGCCTTCAGTGCTGTGATGGGATCGACGTGGCTTGGGCAAGTCCAAGGCTGCTGGGTCTGGACCTGACCTCTCCCTTCTTCCTGCAGGGCTGGCCGTTGGCCTGGATCCTGAGGGCTATGGGAACCCCGACTTCTGCTGGATTTCCATTCATGATAAGCTGGTCTGGAGCTTTGCAGGCCCCATTACTGTCGTCATTGTGGTAAAACCCTGTCCTGTTTCACCCACAGCCCTCTCCTGTCTCCCTTGTCCGCACTATGGGCACTCGCCCCTTCCTTGGCTGCCCACTGCCTGCCCCCTTCTCTGTATTCTCCTTTCTCAGTCAGAGGCCCTCTCTCTGTCCCTCCTTGCTCCAGCCAGACTTGGGGGAGGCCATGGCTCGGGCATGAAAGGGAAAGGAGGGGATGTTCGCATGGGCCTGGTAGACCTGGAGTCTGCCCATGCTCTGTGCTGGGGATGTCAGGTCAGAACCGACCCTTGGCACAGCTTCTAATCAGTGCCAACGCTTTCAGATGAATGGGGTCATGTTCCTGCTTGTGGCCAAGATGTCCTGTTCCCCAGGCCAAAAGGAGACTAAGAAGAAGTCGGTTCTGTGAGTATTAGTGGCCAAACTCCCAGCAGAGCTCCTGTGGTTTGTGGTTTCTAGCATTTTCAGTGATCATCCTCCCTCTTCCACCGTCACAGTCTGTCCCTCTGTGCATCAGTGTCAGTCTTGCAGCTGCTCTCCTCTCCCACACCTGCCGGCCACATTAACCCTTCCTAAACTTTGTCCTTTCCTCTTGTTCCTACGTCCCCATCTCCACACTGTCCCACCAGCCTGTCCCCCTTCACCGCCTGCCCTCACAGCCGCTCCTTATGTCTGCGTGGATTCAACACTCGGCCCTTGTCGACTCTCAGCACCTGCTTTTTCTTCTCCTACATGCTTGTTCCGAGACTTCTCCCCGCTCCCTCCTGGGCCAGCCCTGGAGCTTGGCCCAGCTCTCTGTGACTCCAAATGACCCGTGTTGTTTGGGCCACCGTGTTTGCCATGTGTGATCCAGAAGGGAGAGGCTTGGAAGTCAGGGGGAGCTGAACCACTGTGCAGAGTTGAGCCTGCAGTGCTGGGCGCAGCAGGGAGGGCTAGGCAGGAGCGTGCTTTCCCCTCTGGATCTCTGTCTATGAGCGCTAGACTGTAGATTAACAACACGCACTAACCTCTTGGTGTGTGTCTGTGTGCCTGTCTGTCTGTCTCTCTCTCTCCAGCATGACGTTACGGAGCTCCTTTGTTCTGCTTCTAGTTATTAGCACTACCTGGCTCTTTGGCCTCTTGGCTGTCAACAACAGTGTCCTGGCTTTCCACTACCTCTACACTGTCCTCTGCAGCCTCCAGGTAACTGCCCGGCCTCTGCCAGGGGAGGGCACGGGTCAGCCCAGGAGAGCACCTGTGTGGTCCCCACAGCCGTCTGTGGAGAGTGGGTGCCCCACGCTGAGCCCCCAGCATCCCGCTGGGCTCTTTGTCCCTTCCATTGTCACTGCTGTGGCAGCGAGTGCCTTCTGCCAGTCCTTGCTGCTGTGCCCGTGGTGAGCGGTGGCATGGAGCAGGAAGTGTCTGTAAGGTGCTTGGTTCAGAGGTGACATCCAAGGGGCAGTGAGGACCATCTTGGGAGGGAAGGGGTCTCCCTGCTCTCAGAGAGCAGAGAATGAGAGTGGCCTGCAACAGAGGTGTCAGACAGCCCAAATGTGACCCACAGCAGCACACTGCAGATGTCCTGCCACCGCCATGGCTGGTGCTGCTGTAGGAGACTCCGCCAGCCACTCGTTGGCTGCTGCCAGCCAGGGGGACATCCCACGCTTTCCTCCCTCACCCATGGCCACCATGGGGGTTAGCGCTGATCAGTGCCTAGGGGCTCTTTGGTGCATCCCTGTCCTGTTGGCCACCAAGACTGATGTGCTGGGCTCTGGAGAAGCCAGGGAGCGGCCAGGATCTGGTGCTGTGGGCGAGCAGGTTGGCCAGCAGCAAGGGGCAGTCTCTCACAGCATCTCTCCCTGCAGGGCCTGGCTGTGCTGGTCCTGTTCTGCGTGCTGAACGAGGAGGTGCAAGAGGCCTGGAAGCTGGCCTGCCTCAGCAAGAAGGGGCAGAACGAGGAGGCCACGAGGAGCACACAGGTGGGTGAGGGCAGGAGCAGCCCAGGGGTCTGGGGACAGGCTGCCTGCCTGGGGCAGGAGCTGATGGGGGATGTCCCCACTTCCCCAGCGGGATGGCAGGTGCGGGTGGGAAGGCCATCCCCTGGGCTGCTGCAGCACCTCCTAAACAGGGCATGTGCCTCTCTTCCCCGCCTCGCCAGGGCCCCAACGCCTACAACAACACAGCGCTGTTTGAGGAGAGCGGGCTCATCCGCATCACCCTGGGGGCCTCCACCATCTCGTCGGTGAGCAGCGTGCGCTCTGCCCGCACCCACTCCAGCCAGCGGGCTTACCTCAGGTAGGGAGCAGCGCGGGGCTCCGGCAGCACCCGGGCAGAGCCGAAGGCTCCTGCCGCTGTGACCGTTCGGGCCTCCTGTCTTCCAGAGACAACGTGACGGCCCGTCAGGGCTCGGCCCTGGATCACAGCCTGCTGGCTCATGCCGGCCCCACGGACATCGACGTGGCCATGTTCCACCGTGATGCCGGGGGAGGTAAGGCTCAGCCTGGTGCCCAGGTGTGGGGCTGACCCAGCTCGTCCCAAATTAACTCCTGGCTTAAGGAAATCCTTCCTGGTGCAGGCTCTGGCTGTACGGTTACATCCTCCACCCTGTATTTGGGTGTGACTCCCAAACACGCTGTGGATAGGAAGGAGGGGCAGCAGCTGTGTCACATAGTGCAGCCACCTCCTGGACAGGCAGCAAAGGGCATAGCCAGTCTCCAAGGAGCTAGAAATGGAGGAGGTAAAAGCAGGGGACATACGCTGTTGTGGGGTCTGTGGGGATACTGGGCTCCCCAGTACAGCACCCATTGGAGTGAGACTGGGTGACCCACTGGAGTGAGACTGGTGGGGCCACCCTTGTGGCCAGGGCTGGGGCACGGGACAGGCGAGCAGAGGCTGAGGGAGGTGGGTTTGCTCAGCCTGGAAGAACAGGAGGCAAAGGGGATCTTAAGGCAGCTGCAAACATCTTTTATGGGGAGGTGCAGTGAGATGGAGCAAGGCTCCTTTCACAGGCACCTGGTGAAAGAGCAGGGGGAGCAGGCACAGGCTGCTGCCGAGGGAAGGGCAGCGAGGGGTCATGCAGGCTGTTGTCCTCATGAGGGTGGTCAGCCCTGGGGTGGTTCTGCTTTCCCAGAGGCGATCAGAGCCTGGCTGGCCCTGTCCTGGGCAGGGGTCAGAGCAGAGACCTCTGGGTCCCTCCCGGCCTCCGTTATTTGGTTATTCGGTCATTTAACTGACATGCTCACAGGCACAAGTCTGTCCTCCCCTATTTGGGCTGAAAAGCCTCTCCCACCTTCATTCCAAATGTCGCCCCAACACACGCTGTGTCCCTACAGACCAGGACTCGGACTCAGACAGTGACCTGTCTCTGGACGAAGAGCGCAGCCTCTCCATCCCATCCTCAGAGAGTGAGGAGAACGTGCGCCTGCGGGGCCGCTTCCAGCGCCAGTTCAAGCGGGCGGCGCACAGCGAACGCCTCCTCACTAACCCCACCAACACCACTCCCAAAGGCAAGTCCCAGGGGCTCTGGCAGGGGAAAGGATGAGTGAAGATCCCTGGGGCCAGGCCATGTCCTGTGATGACTTCAACTGCTGCTCACAGAAATATTCTCTCTCTCTCTTCCCTGGGGCTTGTTCTGCTGTGTCCTTCGCCAGACGTGGATGGCAACGACCTCATGTCGTACTGGCCGGCTCTGGGCGAGTGCGAGGTTCACCCCTGCTCCCTGCAGAAGTGGGGCTCAGAGCGGAAGCTGGGATTCGACATTAACAAGGATGCGGCTAACAATAATCAGCCAGACCTGGCCTTGACCAGTGGGGATGAGAACTCCCTCACCCAGACCCAACGGCAAAGAAAAGGTAATGGCCTGGAGCAAGCAGACGAGGGTGGCCTGGCCTGTCTCAGGGACGTGGCCCTGAAGAGGCTTAGCATCAGATCCATCTTGTTGTGTCCTTGGGGAGGTATGGCTTATCTCCCCCAGCTTTCATGCTCTTGTCACTGTTATGCAAAGATTTGACTTCTCTGTCTGTCTGGTGCAGGGATTTTGAAGAACCGCCTCCAGTACCCTCCAACTCTCCAAGGCTTGCCATCTGTCGGGAGGATGACCAATGAGCTGACATGGTACAAGACCTCCACGCTGGGTCACAGGGCTGTCCCTGCCGCCTCCTATGGCAGGATCTACTCTGGGGCGGGCAGTCTGTCGCAGCCAGCAAGCCGGTACTCATCACGGGAGCAGCTTGACATGCTGATGAGGAGACAGATGTCCCGGGAGCAGCTGAGCAGACACAACTCAGGAGAGTGCTTGGAAGCCCTGCACAGCCGTCATGGGTCCAGGGAGGAGCTGGACACTATCCCCAGCAGGCATGGGTCTACTGAACACCTGGAAAGTATCCCGAGCAGACAGGGGTCTAGGGAAAACTTGGATCTACTGGCTGCTAGGCCCAGTCAGAGAGATCATGGGAACACACTGCCCCGGAGGCAGGGCTCCAGAGACCACCTTGACACTTTACCCTGCAGATTTGGGTCAAGAGAGCAACTAGACTGTGGGCCAGTAAGAGAGGTCTCTAGAGAGTGGCTGAACACATTGCCAAGTAGGCAAGTGTCCAGAGACCGAATAGACATGTTGCCAAGTCGAGACACTTCTCGAGAACAATTGGATTTGCTTTCTAGAAGACAGCCTTCAAGGGATCAGCTAGCATCAGCTAGACAAACATCAAGGGAGCAGCTGGACTTTCTCTCCAGAAGATCTAATTCCAGAGAGCCTCTGGACACTGTGCCTAGTAGGCATCCCTCGCAGGACAACCTGGGGAGTCTCTCTAGGAGGCAGCTGTCTAGGGAAAGCCTAGAGCCGCTGTCAAGGAGACAGCCTTCTAGAGAGAACCTGGAGGCTGTTCCCAGCCGACATCCATCCACTGAACAGTTAGATATCCTTTCTTCCATCCTTGCTTCTTTTAACTCTTCCGTCCTGTCTTCGGTGCAATCTTCCAGCACGCCTTCAGGCCCCCAGACCACCGCCACCCCTTCTGCTGTGCAGACCTCCTCGACACCTTCAGCAATGTGCGCCTCAACGCCTCGCTCCACCACTTCTCACAGCATTTCAGAGCTGTCACCAGACTCAGAGTAAGTGTGTCCCTTCCTCAGCCAGGCCTTATTCAGCTGATCTTATGCATCATCCACCTGCCTGGCTTCTTCCCTAAGGGGGTTTGGTTTCAGGAGAGAGGACTGTGTAAGGGTGAGCCCCCAGGGTGAGTGGCAGATATCTCCTGGTCCTGAATAGTGACCAGGTAAGGAGAACCCTCAGGTGCAACAGCTCTGGGCACTTGCAGTGCAGCACGAGCAGAAACATCAGCGTATCTGAGTCTGCTCACTTTGCTAGAAGTGATGGCCCTCACTTGTGGCCTGCGGAGGCTCAGGGAAGATGCCTTGTGCAGCCAGGCTGACCTCATGGCTGGTCCTCTTGCTCAGTGCCAGCTCTAAGTCCCAATGAGCGCACGTGTGCAAGGGCCAGGCTGGCTGGAAAGGAAGAGGGGACCCAAGTCCTACAGGACTCCTGCCTGCCCCAGCCACGTTTCTCCCCAAGGACCCTGTCCCAATCTGTCATTTCTTCCTCTCCAGCTCTGCTCCCTGCTGGTACTCATCCCATCCCATCCCATCCCATCCCATCCCATCCCATCCCTCCTTTCCTCTTCCCTGAACTCAGGGATTTGGAGACAGTTGTTCCTGCCCTGACACAGGAGTGGGTTTCTAAGAACTCTGTCCCCATCTGGCATAGCTGGGCGAGGCAGCTGGAGCCCACAGGAGATGCCATGGCTTAACGCTGTTTTTCTTTCCTCCAAGAAGAATAACAAGAAACGAGGGCCATTCCTGAGGAGCCGAAGCTGCCCGCAAGAGAGACAGAAGAAGCAGGGCCCTTCACCTAGCCAGGCGCTGCCAGCTGAGGTTTGGTGTCCCCAGGGGGCAGGGGCCAGAACTGATGGTGATCAGAGGCCCAAAACTGACCCTGCCTTCCCCCTCCCCTCTGGGCTGAGGGGCCGGCCTGCCCGGTGTGACAGGTACGGCAGGAGCCTGCTCAGGCGAGGGTGGCTTCTCCGACCCGCTGGGGTCCTCTGCAACCCCTTTGTATGCAGGGTGTGCGTGTGTGTGCGCGGAGGGTGGGCAGGGGCAGGGGGATGGAAACAGAGCCCAGGATGTCGGGGCGGGGGAGGGTTTTCTACCTTTTTGTATCTTTGTAATCAGAGAGAAGAGAAATTTCTATGGTTATTTTTACGGATGGGCTGTTCCCAGGACCTGGAGCATTGTCTCACCAACAGCCCTCTGCCGGCTTCCCTGGGGGTACCAGGAACCGTGATCCCGGTGGGCCGGAGGGACAGTGCCAGGCAGCCCTCGTGGCTTTGCCAGCACCACTCCGTCCCATCCCCATTGCAGGGCAGCTGGCCCTGCTGCCCCTCTTGCCCTCCCACCTTGTGCAGCTCCACACATGTCTCAGCGCCGTCCTCCTGTCTGGTGTCCTTCCAGCCCCTGCAGCTGTGCTGGCCCTGCAGCCAGGCCCCCCTCTGCCCTCCCACGGGACCCCCCTGGGGGCTGCCCCCCATCTGTGAGCCAGGGCTGTGCACAAGCGAGTGGGGTAGCAAATTCGGCACTAGGGAAACAAGCTTTGCTTTTCAGTCCCCTCCTGTAAGCGCTGGTTTCCTCCACTCAGCAAATGAGCACTGTGTTTTTATCTGTTGTATGTTGTGCTCTTTAACCTGTGTGTTGTAGAGCAAACCTGTTGGTTTGTGTGTCCAGGCAAGAACCTGGATGTCCCTAGCCCTGCTCAGCAGCGGGCGAAGCTGTTCCCAGAGCCGGCGCTCACCCTGTGGACGACTATCATCTCCACGAGTCCAGTCTCAGGGTCCAGCGTTGCCCACAAAAGTTGTATCTAGCTGGTTCCTTGTGGGCTCTGTGTACATACGCACATGTCCCTGCGCTCTCTGGCTGGCGAAGGACCCCATCTCAGAGTGGCCTGGATTTTGGGAGACGGAGATAAACAGCACTTTGCCCTCTCTGAAAATTCAGGCTGCCTTGATGGTTTCTCTGCTCTGCTCGGGGCCTGGCCCTGGGCTCCCACTGGCCCTGCCGCAAGGCGACACTCCTCTGTGCCTACCCCAGCCTCGGGCCAGGGGCAGCCGGCTCCGGGGGGCGGGGCGGGCCCGTTCACCTGCCGAGCATGGTGCCTCTGCTCAGCTGCCCCCGTGGTGCTCTCGGGGCTGCATGACAGCACACTCCTTACTGCCTTACTGCCACACTGCTGTAGCTTCTTACTGCAGCCCAGCCTGACGTGTTTACAGGAGAGGACTTGTGCTGTTGTCCTCCAGGAAGGCCAAGGTCTCTCGGCTTCGTCCCCAAGTCAGGGGAGAGGACTGGGAGGGTACAGAGGGGCTGGGTGATGGGCTCGCTGCTGCCCTCCTCCCAGGGATGGGGAGGGACAGGCCTGCTGACATGTTTACATGCCATTTGGGACCAGCACGCAGAGGGAAAGTCTGCTGGCCCCAGGTGCCAGGAGCTGGTCCCTTCCATGCTGCCCATCTTCGCCTTTGCGAACAAACTCGTTTACACGTTCCTCTCCGGCTGCGCAGCACCGCAGCCCTGGCCTGTGCCTCAGTCAGCGCCATGTTACCCCTTTGGCACCCCGGTGGGTACCCGTGTCTGGTCCCTGCCGTGCCGCCAGATTGGGCACGAGTGCTTTGTGTTGGTGCCAAACAGAGAGCAAGTGACAAGTGCCAAAAAAAGAAGAGAGCAGCGGAGCCGGTGGCTGTCCCCACAGAGCTGGGCCGGCCAAGAAGCAGGAGTCAGTCTGTAACTTGGTCCCTGATTGTAGTGCTGTGGCCTGGGCTCTGGGGAGCATCCTCCTTGGATTTAGGTTTGGGTTTGTTTCTTTAGGGGGGGGGTGTTGGTTGAGGTTTTTTGTTTTTCCTCTCTCCATCTCCTGATTCTGTGGGCAGGGAGCGGGGAGATGCCCGCACCCCCTCCTTCCCCCCTCCCCCCCCAGGTGTGTAAAAGTGTATCATGGAAGCGCCAGATTTGGAAATAAAAGTCTATAAAATGGTGTTGGCCTCTCTGCCATCTCTCCCTGTGCTCGGAAACCATAGCTGGCGCTGCTGGTGTAGCACCGGGGCTCGAGGTGATGCTGGGAGGGGACCTGGGCAGGAGCTCGCAGCCAGCTCCTGGGCTGAAGGCAAGTCACTGTGGCCTGGAGCGAGGTGACGGGGACCTCAGGTGCTGCCAGTTGCTTGAACATGGCTGTGTCTGGGCTGGTTCACCCAGAGATGGGGTCGGCTGTGGTGGTTCGCAGTGGCCCCGGCGCTGGCTGGCAGGCACTGTGGTGGCTGGCAGGCACTGTGGTGGCTGTGGTTAGCTTTGGGGCTCATGCCTGGGCTGCGGGGACAGAGGGGGAAGTGGGAGGAGGAGAGGCTGAGCGGGATCCCGGTGCCTTCTGTCCCTCCCTTTCTCGCTATTGGGAGAGGAAGGAGCAGGTGAGCAAAGGGCAGTATTGATCCATGGCAACCTGAGCAAGGGTCGCCACTGATGAGTGTGGACCCTCGGTCCCTCATGGGCTCCCTCCTTAGCGCTGCCCTGAGCCTGACCCAGCCCAGGGTGGCCCTTGAGCACCGGGGGCTGAGCTCAAGGCGGCTGCCAGGGAGTGCCGTGTTGGTGGTGCTGGGTGGTCCTGTCCTGCAGCTCTTCCCAAAGCTGGCCTGGGGGTGAGGGGCCAGGAAGGGCTGGCGGGGGGCTGGGGTGGCTGAGGGGGAGCCACGAGCAGAGCAGGCGCCCCATGGGATGGGTCAGGGGCTGGGGTGCAGGAAGCCACAATAAGGAGGCAGTAAATGACGCTATCAGCTATCAGCTGCTACCAAGCAGAAGCCCCGTGACAGCCTCCGCTTCCGTGCCAGGTGAGCAGATAAAGGATGGGGAGGCAGCAGCTGCGTGCGGGTGCCTGTGCTGGCATCGGCGTGCCGCTACCTGGCCACAGTGGGACTGATGGGCACGGGGGTGGGATAGCGTGGGGCTCGGGATGTGGTGGAGGCTGAGGGGAGCAGGCTCAGCCCCACTGCTGAAAGGCAGCCGAGGAGTCCACATGTGGCTGCTGTGGGACCTGGGTTATGCAAGCCAAGGTGGCCACTGGTTGCTTCCCCTCCAGCCAGCTGGGATGGGAATGAGTCTCTCCGACTTCAGAGAGGGTGGTCCTGGGTATCATCGCTCATGCTACACACCAGCCCCATCCCACCACCCATGGCACCCAGGACTCCCCGGTGCCCTGCCCTGCTCGCCGACTTCAGCCTGGCACCAGTCAGCCCAGACCATGGGTGCATGCGTCTCCACTGCTGTGCTCCTGTGGGCCTGTGCCAAGGGTGACTCACATATTCTCTGAAACCACTGGTGGTACCAGATTGTGGTGGAGCCCAGGAAGGTGTGATGGGTTCAACAGAGCTCCAGTGCCCGCTGGGGACCTTTGGAACAAGATAACGGCTGGGTCTGTGCACTGGGATAAAGCGGGGCAGTCCACAGGGCACAGCACACCCGTTTCCAGCAGGTAAGCAGCGGCTGAAGCAGTGCCCTGGAGAGGTGAGTGCTGGCAGCCCGTGGCAGGAGGTTGGCACCAGGATGTGCCCAGCAGCAAGAAGACCCCTGCCCTGTGCCTGGCACAGGCGCTGGGGCACAGCAGCACCCTGGGCACAGCTGTGGGCCAGCAGCTGAGGCTGACCAGGACAATCCCCAGGATGGGACGGCCCTGGGGACAGCAGTGACAGCGCTGGGCCTGCCATAGCCAGGGCACCCAGCACAAGAGGGCACTGGGAGAGCATGGCGGGTGCCAGACAGGAGCGGGGCTGGGAAATGGGCAACTCCTTCGAAGGGCAGGAGGAAGGGCAGGAGGCAGGGAGCGGTGTCTCAAAGATCACGGGCAAGTATTAATAAAAGGGAACAGAGTTTGCGCCCGGCTGCAGGCACCTGACCGGCTTGGGCACAGCAGGTAGGAGGGCTGGGGGGAAAGCAGGGACTCAGACTGGCACAGCTCCGGGACCGCACGAGTGGCCTGCAGGTCTGGTTGCGAGTGGGTGAGCATCTCGGGACTGGTTGGGGCCACTGGCTGGGTGAGCCTGGTGGGACGGTGGCACCTCTCAGCTTGAGCCCTGAGCAAGGTCAGGCTGCACATCCGTATGGAGGTGCCTCGGTCCCACCGTCCCGGCCCCGCAAAGGGAGAGACCTCATCCCAGCCCCGCTCCTCCCTGCCCATGGATGGGCTCAGCCCATGCTCTGCAGCGCAGGGGGCTGGGGAGGGCGCTGGTGGAGAGATGGCGAGCCCGTGACGCTCCCTGGGGATTGACATTCCT